GTGTTATTATTGTTATTTCTGACAACAAACAGCATACTTATTGTGTATTGTTTTCCCTGTTTTGACGACAGTATTTAAAAAGAATTAAAAATACGAAAGAAAAAGAGCTTATGCGCGTCATTCGTCATCAGTGTTATTATCACAGATGTGGACCCGGGCATTTCACTGCCTCACTTCGAGGATGAAGGAGACGGATCGCTCTCTAACTAAAGCTTGACAGAATCAATGAAAAAACTACTCTGGGCATGTGTTTGAAGGCCAAATAGCACTGTAATCATGTTTAAAGCAGAGAAAAGTCAAAAAGCATAATATGGGACCTTTAAATTAAAGAACACCATAAATAACACATTGAATATATTATATCTAGTAAACAGACTAGTGACATGGATTTTTTTTTACAAATTACATCGTTGTGTAGTTTGAAAATTAGGTCCCCCAGCTTCAACTGATATTTTAAAGCCCATATAATACTGCATTCACATTCAGCCCCTTCCCTCACCTTGCCAGCACCGCATTCCTTCTGTGGTAGTCGAAGAGGCCGAACCCGTGGCTCGTCCCGAAGGAGATAAGGTTCCACTCTGCGTGTAGAGCCACCGCAGTGACCGAGGCTGGGGGCATGCACTGCACCAGCACCAGGGGCTGAAACCCCGGGGGGAACGGCGGGGGCTTGAGCCGGGGGTCCAGCCGGTCGTGTCCTTTCCACGTGAAGCCCTCTCGGTCCTGCAGCAAGTCCACCACCGCCACGTCCACCATGTGATCAGAGCGCTCATCACTCAGCCCAAGAACGATCACCTTCAGAGTCAAAGAGAGAGACAGAGTGACAGACACAGTCAGACACAGACAGAGAGAGACACAGAGAAAAAGATTCAGAGATGGAGTCAGGGTCAGACAGGGATAGTCCGAGAGAGTCAGAGACAAGACAGACAGAGAAACCGAGTGGAGTGAATGTTTGCAAAAGGTATCATCATTATTCTAGCCATGTTGTGTACCTGTCCAGCAGTGCCAGCCACAACCAGTTTGTTGCTGTACTTGCACATGCTGATCTTCTGGATGCCGAGTCTGGGGTCGTCGCTGTACGGGTCAAAACAGCCGACCTGAAAAAGAGCAATGGGTCAAATTTTGAGAACCATGTGAAAAAAATGTATTTCATATCAAATATATATAATATATATGTGTATATATATATATATATATATATATATATATATATGTGTATATATATATATATATATATATATATATATATATATATACATATATATATATATTATTATTATTATTATTTTTAATAATAATTAAACAATAATTATTATTATTGTTCATGTTGACAATTGGAGTGCCTTTTGGGGAAAGCCCGGTCTCATCCGCTCGGATGATATCCACCCAACGTTGGCGGGTACATCCCTTTTGGCTAAGAATTTGGCCCTGGCTCTAAACTGTTCTGCTCGGCTCAAATGACGATGCAGAACTGAGGCCCGGGTGCAGAGCTGCTCTGCCACAACCTCTGAGCCCCCATCTGTTCAGTTACTAGCCTCAGAGGCTAGTCAGATTGAAACTGTGTGTGCATGTGTGTGTGTGCCTGTGTGTGCTCAGTTACTAGCCTCAGAACCTAGTCAGATTGAAACTGTGTGTGTTCCCCGCTTGAAGTCTAAAGCACTATATGCGAGGAAATCTGACCTAGGTGTCAGACACAGTAACTTAATAAAAGTTCAGACAGACAGAAATAGTTCTAGCGGTAGGGTTGTTAAATGTGGTTTAATGAACGTCAGATCAATCTCGTCTAAATCGCTTCTCATAAACGAACTTATTATAGACAAGGGCTTGGATCTGTTTGCGCTCTCGGAGACTTGGCTCCAACAGGACGACTACGTTAGATTGAATGAGTGCACTCCTCCGACGCATGTTAACTACCAGAAAGCCAGAGCTACAGGTCGCGGCGGTGGTGTTGCGATTATATCACACACCAACTTGGTTCTTAGTCCCAAAACCAACAACGCTTTTCACTCGTTTGAAAACTTAACACTTTCAATCACCTGTCCTGGGTGGAGAAAACAAAAAGCGGTGCTATTTATAGTTTTATACCAACCTCCTGGTCCTTACAGCGAGTTCCTAACAGAATTCTCTGACTTCATTTCAAACCTAGTTTTGGAATGGGAAAACATAGTTATAGCTGGAGACTTCAATATACATGTGGACGACAGCACTGACAGCTTAAACAAAGCTTTCAGCGCTGTACTAGATGGTGTTGGTTTTACTCAGAATGTCGAGGAACCTACTCACATTCATAACCACACCTTGGACCTTGTCCTGACCTACGGCTGTGATGTCTCCAATGTTGACATCCAGCGTCAAAGCTCGTTGCTGTCTGACCATTTCTTGATCACGTTTGATCTCGCTTTGGAGGACTTTCCTGTCCCGCAAGATAAAACCATAATGAAAAGAACCTTAAATGATAAATCTATCACAAGGTTCAAAGAACTAATACAGCCTATGTTGAATACTGCTGCAGGTGAACCTGTTCACAGCAGCTGCAGTCCCTCAGTCATTGACCAAACGGTGGACAACACTATGGAGTCTTTAAAATCTGCATTAAATGCAGCAGCTCCTTTAAAACAGAAAACCATTAGGATTAGATCATCGTCGCCCTGGTACAGTGTTCAACTCCACACTTTAAAACAGGACGTCAGAAAATTGGAGAGGCTATATCGCCACTCCCACTCGGAGCCTGTCCACAGGGAGTGGAAAGCAGGTCTCCGAAATTACAAGAAGGCCCTTCGCGGGGCTCGAACTCAATACTATTCAACTTTAATAGAAGCGAATAAAAACAACAGTAGATTTTTGTTTGGCACCGTCGCTAAACTCACAAACTGCCATAGCGCAATCGAGCCTAAAATTCCAAGCTCACTGAGCAGTGTCGACTTTCTCCACTTCTTTAATAATAAAATTACATCCATCCGTGACAAGCTGGAGGAGGTTGCTCCTGCTGTTAGTGGTGGACAGGTTGAAGCGGCATACGTGACTTCCCACTTAGACTCTTCAGTGGGCCTTAATAAATTCATGGCTGTGAGCCAAGCAGAGGTGATCTCTGTGGTCACATCCTCAAAAGCCTCAACTTGCATGTTAGACGCAGTCCCGACATGGCTCTTCAAAGACATACTTCCTTTGATAATTGAGCCTATCGTAAATATAATAAACGCATCCATACAATGTGGCTATGTCCCACAAGCTTTTAAAACCGCGGTAATCAAACCCCTTCTGAAGAAAACAAACCTGGACCCAGAAATACTTACAAACTACAGACCGATCTCAAACCTCACTTTTATATCTAAAATCCTGGAAAAACTTATAGCTGAGCAGCTCCGCTGCCACCTGCAGGAAAATGATATGTTTGAAGTCTTTCAATCAGGATTCAGAGCTCATCATAGCAC